TCATGTACTTTTCGTTATCTGACCTTCCCTGTATGTATAAATAAAAAAATAATATTCACGATTAGTTTCGCAAACACGATAGATACAATAATGAAACAAATGTGCCATGGTCACTATTGGCATCCAAGAAAAAACAATACATAGTGAAAGCATATGAAGAAGAATCAAAGGGGAAACAAATATTTTCTAAAATTCTAGTTTATACTGTACACTTGTTTACTATATCGAGTGAAATACGTTCAAACTGTATTGTCAATCGTAATATTTTTTACATCATCTTCCCGAACACTTGGTAACATACCATTAAGATAAGTTTTCCTAGGTTAATTGAGCAGTCAGTTACAAATTGAGACTCTAATTCTGTAGAACCATATTAGAATAATGAAAAGAAATATATTGATTTTAAAAATATTTTTAAATTATTTCTATAATATTTAATATCGCAGTACATAATCATGTTTTTTAGATTGATAAATATAAACTATTAATATTATTGTTCAAATGTGTGTTTTTTAGTATACGAGATATTTAATGTTAAACAATTATTTTTTAATTATTATTATATGAAATTTGGGAGTTACAAACCATTTATAAATAATATTTTATTAAAAAATATGTATGTTCTATCGAAAACACTTGTATTTATTCATATTACACAATAAACCTCTATAAAAATAAAAAACTGTAAAAAAAAAATAATAATACTTATGCATCAATTTATTAAATTTATGAATGCTTATAAAATTCCATTATGTTTATAAAAAGTTTAAATGGGCCACGTCGTGTATTGGTCAGACATACATTGTACTATGGTCGATAACATATAATGGTAGGACAATTTATAATCTTATGTTCTGTTTATTATTCAATTAAATTTATAATATAATATAATAATTTTTATTTTAATATTAGTTTGTATAATTTAATTGTATTGATATTAATACATTTCGTGTAAATACATGATATATTTCAATATATCTAAATACTATAAATTTTTATGGTTTTATAGAAGAAAAGACAAAAAAATAACATTAAATATTAATAATTGATATAATAATTGATGATACAAACTTAAAATAACGATAAAAATATTCAAAAAAATATTTTATACATTTAACTTTGGTTAGGATATATGAAGTGTCTATAACTAGATCATTTATTTAATACCTTGCACCACTGTTTCTCAACTACTATGTAATGGGATGGATTCAAATGTGTCATGAGGTTTTAAATGTTGCTGAAACTACATAAAATTTACAGAAATTGATATTTAATAAAGTGAAGTGTAAGTTAAATTGTTATAAACGTAGGTACATATATAAGAATTAAATTAAACTATTTTTAATTAAATAAATTATTAATATGTGCGTATTACGTATACCATACTATATAAGGTGTTTAGTCATTACCTATATTTTTTTAAGGTGTGTGGTAAAGTATGAACTATTTGAATTGTGTATTGCCATAATAAAAAATATTGAGGAATATTGCACTGTACCTAAACAATTTTATTTACTGCGAATTACTGATACGTAGTTATTATAGATACTTGCAAATTGTAATGGTTGAATAATATAATATTTAATAAAAAATAACATACGTACACCCAAAAAAAAGAATTTTCAAGTACAATGTTTATCTCATATTTTATGTCATCATTATATGGGAAATATGTTTACTAATTAACTACTTCACAAATACTTTAGTTTTTTTAAATATTTAAATCAATACAAAATACTTAAAAATGGATTGAACCCAAGCCTCAACCTAAGCAAAAATAATAAAATTACCCCGCCGATCTTAAAATAAGTAATATGTAGAAGTATTATTAGTTATTATGACACATTATAATGAGAATTGAATATATTAGTATGCAAAGCTCGTCAATCATATTGTAAATATTAAAAGGATTTAACAATATTGTTAGCTATTTGTTTAGATATATATTTGAAAATAAATAAAAAAGTTATATTTTTGAAACATATATAAATATCATGTATAAAATCGAATGAGCATAATTAAAGTTTAATATTATTTCAATGTTTATAATACAATTTTCATTTAAATCTAATAAAACATTGATTTTACAAGGCAGCATCATTAGTTGTTTAATTAACTAATAATTAAACTACTTTATTGAAAAATAATTTAAACAAATAAAAACTAATATTTTTAAATATTAATATTAGTAATATATTAGTAGTATTAGTAGTTAAATATTATTATATAGCCTTTAAAAAAAACAATATTACGCTTCTTCTGAATTATCATGACATTCCATTTTATATATATTTAAAACAACCTTGGAATAAATAGAAAGGATATACTAACTTATCTTACATTTTTAAAACTGAAACTTTTCATTATAATTTTATCATTTTCAACCATAATAATAATCATACTAATTAAAAATAAATCTCAATTATTGTTCACTCATTTTCTCATTATTCCATCAGATTAATCACTGAAGTTACTAATTGTCGCATACATTTTAATTAAGAACGAAATCCGAAAATTACAAAAATAATTTCCGTTTCCTTAGTTTTTTATTCTTAAGAAATGTATAAAAAAAAACTTGAGTAAATATTTAATTCTCAATATTTAATATTCTGGATTGTTTAATATTAATCATAAAAACATAAATTTAAAATTTACTTACGCAAAAATTATAAATTCGACTAGAACGAAAAATTATTTTATAAATATATTGTGAAATACCTAAATATCAAAGAAACCATACAATAGTGAATTCGAAACTTGACACAATGACGTGTATTTTTCGAGTTTTAAATGCACGCACATATAATTGGAATCTATTGTTCCATGTTACTTTAAATATTTCCTATAATATAGTTAAAATCTATGATGTCTCCATTTACCATTTATTCTATTTTTAGGATAACAACATAACTATATCAAATATTCGAATGAAGTCGTTTAATATTGTTTCTCACCTAATGACCAACATAAGCGAAATATATTGATACAATCTCCTTGAATAGATTTGTAACTTCATTCACACCATCATGCTGTTAGTTGAATGACATTTACAACATTTTATAGCTATTTAGTGCATTAAAAATAATGTTTAGCCTTGAGTATAGCTCAGATGCATTTTATATAAACATACTTAGGAAACCGATTGTAAAATGTATAATAATACTCTGTAGCCTAATATTTTTTTGATAACAGATATTGTAGATATAATAGTTCAAAAAAAATTTATGAAATAACTCAAGGAAGTATTTGATAGCTTACTATACCAATAGCTCACAATTAATAATATATTTCACAAACAAAATACATACTACTTATGAGTATATATAATTAATAAATATATATTTAACAATGTATAACATATATCAGAGGTGGCCAAACTTTTTTCGGCCACGATCTACTAAAAATATACATCACCTTTGAAGATCGACTTTCTTGGAAAATTTTTTTATAAACCAGAATAAAAGATAAAAACTATATAGATAAAACTTATCGACAATTTGTTCTTAATTACCACGATTAATTTTCGTGCACGTGGCCTAAAATAAATTCTAACATGATCGACCGTTTGGCCGCCCCTGACATATATAATAACAGAAACAAATATTTACCAATATAATTCTTACGAAAATAAATAAAACTGTGCAATTAGATTTAGACTATGAATATTTAAGCTTTATACAAATTCTATCTTAATAAAATATTGTTAGACTAAGTAATCAACTTAAGACATGTATGTTGTAAATAATAAAATAAAACACGGTTATTTAAGAGAAAATATGCTCAAACAAAGTTCGTAGCGACTGAAGCAGTGAATAGATTAGGAATGTCATTCCTTTATTTTTTAATTAATCACCTTAATTAGTCCAAAATAATATGTCCCTGCGTGAAAATTTGTAATTTTAAAATTATCATTTAAATAATTTAGTCATTTAATTTTTAAATGGAAATCAGTTTTTTTCATATTTAAACAATTTTTTATTTATTTTGAACTACTTCTATCACTAGTAGTTTATTGACTTACTTACAAAAACAGTTTTTTTTTTAGTATTATTATAAATACATACTCTTACACATCTGAATACTTTACACACAATCAAAAAGAACAAAAACAATAAAGTACACAAATGTATTTTATATTTTAATATATAAATTATATATGTTGAATTGGTACATGGATAACACCAATAGTTTTATTCTTGATCAATCAAACCAAATATTAAGATTTTTTTATTTAAATTATTCACTATATAAAATTATTTGAAAATTAATTAAAACATGATATTAAAATAAAATATTTTATGATTTTCTATGAAAATACATAATTAAGAAAATGTAATTTAGACATATACCTGTATATAATAAAAACAACATCTCCTAGGTTATACGTCAGCAATTCTGCATTTCAACCAGACTATAAAATGTATTGTTATTTAAATTTATAATTTATTTAATAATAAATGATGTTAAACTAGTAAATCCGTATTATTGAATATGTTGCATAAGAATCCTAAAACATTTAAATATTTTTGTGCAAACAATAATTGTTTAAGTGTTCATAAATCATATCATTTAACTGATATTTAAATTGTTCTGATCTACCAACGTCCATTGTACATTTAAGTTTGTACATTATCTTCAAATACGAAATGATAAGAGAAAATTACATGTCCTGTCACAGACCGAATGCGATGATCTATTATGTTGCAGTTTGCATTACCTATATTATCAATTAAATATCCAAACAGTCACGACCCGTCAGTAAATACTAAATAGCATTAGTGCATGCTTAAACGTATCTTATTGAGAAATTATTACATCAAGATTGTAATGCGTAATAATAAACACAAAAGAATAATTTATAACAAAAAAAAAAAAAAACATAACGTTTTTGTCATGTGTATACAGTAAAAGCATTCATTATGATTTTATTTAATATTATTGTATACGTGAAGTGATGATGATTAATTACAATTTACAACTACACAGAATACAGTACATACCTATACACGCTCTCATCGTAATAGAGAAGAATTCGCAGTGGTTGATTCACACTTCTTTTTCTCATTATATGCGGTGATTCAATGTGTACTCCGTGTATTACCTGAAACAACAATAAACATTAAATAAAAATGATTAGTAAGCGCATACATTAAATAAGAATCATTTATCACGAACGAAAACAGTTAACATGGTAATTAATTCAAGTTTCATTTTAATATATCAATATGAATAGATGACTTATATGTTTATTTTTTCGTATAGTCATTGTAATGCACCAAAGTCAGTTAAATAATCAACCTCTTTTTTTTTATGTATTGCACGGACACGGACTTTTTTATAAAATAATTTTTATACATATCTAATTTACAGGAAATTCGATAAATACACACGTAATTCGGAAATAAAGTTAAGGGATCACGATTTAACAAATTATACAATAGAGTAAACAAAATATAGGAAACTAAAATATTGCATAAGAATCAATACAATACTCGTATAAACAAAAATATATTATTCTATAGATTTCTTTCGCCTTTTTTTTTCTTTTATAATTTATACATAATGCCAAATAGGTTAAGGTAGACTGATCACCGATTAAAAAGAGTATTTTTTTTAATTAAATTAAACATCGCTTATATCGTTTTTCTAAAATTTAAGTATTTTAATAAAGATTTATATTGTATTTTAAGAGTGATAAATACATGGTTTTTTTAATTATACTTAAAAATTATATTCTAAAGTATTGAATTTGCTATTATATCTTATTTGCTACTAATTTTTCAACATTTTAAATTATTAATATATACTCATAAGATAAAATTGTACACAATTAACCCTGAAAACAGAAAGGTAAATTAGTACTGCCAGTAGAATTATACTGTTTTAGTTAAATAATAAAAACATCATGTTTATATTAGTAACGCTTTAAGATAACCCGTGAAATTATATTATATTAAAATAAACTGTCATGGCTTAATCTTATTGTTTATACTATGTTTTAGAAATCAAAAATAAATTTAAAAATGTTAAAAATAGTTTAATTTTTTTTAAATAATTTTGTAGTTATTAGTTACATTAGTTTACAATGTGGCCGGTACTGTGAAATTCAAATCTGACTATAATCGCAATTCGTGCGTTGCGCATGTCCCCAAATGCAATACATTTGACGACTTACTTTCATCTTAAAACCACAATATATTTTAAGCTAATATACATACTCTTAATAATAACAATTTAATATGCTAAAATTATAATCGTAAAAATGAACACTTTCTACGATTAAAATAATTGGCAATTAAAAATATGTTATAGGAATATAGTAATAAACTGAACTCATCTCAAATTATTTTTTTTTATTTAATTAAGTAGACATTATTTTAAATTTAAAAAAACATTAAAATACAGGATATTTTCAAGACAAATTCTAGAGGTCAAGTACCAAACTTAAAATTTTCATATATAATCAGACACATTTATAAACTTAAAAATTGCAAACATAAATAAATGTTTATATACATTTTATTTATTTTTTTTATAATTGAAATAGTCAAATATATGAATATTATTATTCTAGTTTATTAATTTTTTACTACATTATTTTTTTTAATCTAAAACAATAATTTTTAATTATAAAAATTGCTAACAATAACTTTACACAATTTATTACGTCCTTCTATTTCAAAAAAAGAGTAAAAAGAAGAAATATACTTCATATGAATAAATATATAATTCAGAATTAATATTTTTACTATGCACCTTCTGGAAATATGCCATATGATTACGCCACATTTCTATTGTACATTATAAACCGTTATACAGAGATTCATCACGTACAAGTTGACCGAATGTTGTAAGATACATCGGTTGGACACAAAAATGATTGAATATTGAGTATTGTTATTCATCAGATATAGAAAGCAGTCATAGTTAAAACATAACGTAATAAAGATTATAGTTTTGATATTAAACTATTATAAAATAAGTTTCATTGGATAATTTACCAACACATTGAATAATATTTAATACTGCTATCAAAAACTATCAGTTTCAATAAACTTCAAATAAATGTTCTTAATAAACCTATTATATTAGTGTAATAAAATACAAATATAATTAGTAAGTTATTTTATTCTAAATGTATATCAAAGAAAATATTTAATAGGCCCAAAAATTATGTACAGTACAACACACTTTGTGTAATACGAAATGTTAAGTGTGTAATACAAAATTAAAAAGCGTGTTGTGGTTCTATTCTCTATATCATAGTATTTGTTTTTAATCTTACATTTTTTTATTAAATTATTTAACATATTTTTAAAATTCCAAAATGTATTATCAGCAAAATCTAAAATACCAACTATTTTAACTGTGTTACTCATTTCTGTTAACGTTTGAAAGGGGAGTATTACAAAATCCTTAAGTGTGCAGTACGAAAAAGTATATATTTTAGCCTCTGATATTTACTTTAAAAATATATATTTTTTTTTTAATCGTTTAAAATAATATATTATATTTTAACTTTTATAATATATTTATCACATAATATAATGGCCATCAATAATTACGAGATTATAAGACCTAATAATTAATTTATTTTGACATTTATTTGTGAGTTAGATTAGATTAGATGATGGAAAATTGTTTCGTTAGTAAAAGGTATTAGTTTAATATTTTAGTCGTTAATGCATGGATTTTTAGTAAAATTTCTAATACCTAGTAAGTGTTTGAATATTAAACAAACTTTTAGCAATTGAGAAGTATGTAAATGATCTTTATAACTGTTATGAGTGTTCTGTAAGTTAAATCTTTCTAGACAATTGAGGGATCCGACAGTGATGCAAGTGCCACCTATACGAAAGTGGTTAATTATATACTTATATTTTTTGAGTATATGCTTGGTTCGGGCCACGGTAGAATAGAACGCTCTAGCTCTCAATTTATATTATTTGTATATTAAATTATTATTTTTGCTATTCATTCATATAATTGGATTTTCTGTAATTTTTTTAATCGTGATCCAATGTACAAGTTCATCATTCTGCATCGGGGTTTTTTGTAGTTATCATTGGTTCTTTTTGTTCACTTCTCAGATTCCTATTATATCGGCAGATTCAATCCACGCTAGGTTAATATTTTATTCTTGTAATTACTTGGTTATAGCTATAAATTCATTGTAATATTGATATATTGTGTAAGCTGATTCTGTATCTTATGGAGTATGACGACATAGTGAAATATTAAATAATTAATATTTAATGATCAATTTGAATATGTCTTTTAATCCGAGACGTATTTCAAGTATTGTTAAGGGTTTTACGGTCAAATACTGCAGATGCCATTAGTTATAGAATATTTTTATCATTTGATATTACACCTAGTCCTGATTTTTGTTCGATTTTCAATGCGCTCGTAATTCGAGTATATACTTCTAGTATTTCACTTAAAGGCTTGTATAAATATTTTAATAGTGGTATTATTATGGTGACTTATCAAATTCAATATAATTAGGTGTTAATAAAATCGACGTAGAGGTATTTTAAATTTGTTGTCTGTAATAAAAACTGATCATATTACATATAGTGGCGTGAAATTAAATAAACTCGCAGACATTTTTTTATGATCTGATCATTATTAATGTTTGTTCTTAATTTATTATATTTTCTTTTAAATATTTGTTTTCTCATAAGTTTTTTTTATTTATAGGACAAGCGGTGCACCAGCTTTATAAAGTATGTGACTGGGCTATTTTTTAAAATATCTGACTAAGAAAGGATAATAGCATTTAGTATTTGTATTTTCTAAGTTCTATACACCTACTATTGAATCGAAATCATTTTTAAACTACCATGACTTCTGATAATCTTAATATGATGTCCAAATCACATTCCCAATCAAAATTTTAATTAACGGACATAGTTTTATAAATGTTTATAGGTATGTTAAATACAATTAAATAATAAGACGGTAACAGCAAAAGTAATAATAACTCATAATTTGTTTTTTTTATACCCATATACATCGTGTACCTACCTACTAGTCTTATTCATCTAAATGTATACCACATGAAGTCATGTAATACATTATAAATATTATACAATAGTTTCGTCTATATTATACGATATTTAATAGATTAAGAAACATGTATATTATAATGTAGTTTTTTACACATACTATTTAATTTCATGCTCAACTAGCAGAACAATATTTCCGGTATAAATAGTACTTGAAATACATAAAAATATAAACTTTATACATAATCCGAATTGTTAAGATTAAAAAATATGTTTATTGCTTATTTTACTTTATTTTTAATAATAATACTAAAATAAATTAAGTACTTAATAATTTAATTTAATTTATAATTATATAAATTTTTTAACTATACATGCATTTGTTTGTTTTCAAGGTTAAAATATAACAATCCGAGGTTTATTAAATCATTTTTAACACTAATACAAATTAAAGATATTGATAACCTATAGTCTATACTACAGTTACTCAATTTATCAAGTATTACTATCGAAAACTGAGTAGACAATGATCTCTTACCGTAAAACATTTAGTACACCTAATATACAATGGTATATATATAATTTAATACATAACAATACATTATACAGTAAAAGAAAATTGATTTTCTCTATATGATTAAATCATTTGATTTTTATTATTTAAGAACTCCTATATTTTTAATGTCTATAACTGTGAATATTTCTATCAATTTGCTTTTTTAGAGAAAAAAAAAGTAGATGATATTAATTTATGAAACGATACATTGTTGAAAAATAACCAGAATAATTCGTTTCGATACACTCGTAGTGCATATAATTTGAAGAATTCAATTCATTTTTGCGTTCTTTGTTATCTAGAAAGCACTTCGAAAACCACTTTATCAAGAATTCGATGAATTCCACTTTTCATAATTAAACAAAACTACAGTACATTCATACATTTAGAAGTCACCAGATTAATAATTTCACATAAAAATATTATTATAAACATATGCAGTGTTATAAAGTTTTTTAATAACGTAATTTTACCTAAAAGTAAAAGCACTCATTTCAAATAAATAATAAACAAAACAAAAATCATATAAGATGT